CATCCAATAGAAAGTAGACATTGCCGACATCAATGAAAAGAGTCCGTTGCTCAAAGCTCCTCTCTTTTTCCTAATAACGGTATCATCCAGTTGGCCCGTGTGCACTGACAGCTGGTCCTCTGACTGCAGTTCACAGGTGAACGACAAAGGCTGAAGAAATGTTGTTGCAGCAGAGCGTTGCACGACTTCCCCTTCTCTACAGCAGACGTGCTCTTCACGCTGCTCCACTGTGCTCTTCATATTTTGCACTCTGAGGTTAAATGTTAATTCCCTCTCAATTTTCTTGATGGGAGACGCAGAGCATTTGATTCAACACAGGATACGGGGATTCTGAGAGACGGTGGCTTGAAAAAAAAATCCTTCTTTCCCATGTTATAAAGCAGCTGCTGAGCAGCAGGCGACGCGACGGCTCCGTACAAAAGCCTGAACCTCATCCTTCAAGGTCTGCACTCGCTGCACCCTTGTCCTCATTCACCACCGTCACTAAGACGGGAATAATTGCCTCGGTAATGGCATCTCATCCTAACGCGGTTGATTAGGATGGAGCCCTGCAGCGCCCCCTTTTTTTTGCGCATGTTTCATCGTAGGCAGTTTATTCAAGGAAAACTGAAGAATCCATCTGTGATATTTATTATTATAGATTATATTTATGTATTTATTCATGATATTTGCCTGTGTAAGTCAATAACAGCAGATGTATGTTTGTGAGAATTAATGTCCTTAAGACGTTTAGACAGGGTTTGTAGAACTGATCTGATGTCAGATTTAAGTCCAACAATGAATGTGTTGCGTCTTTAAAGCTGCAGTAGATCGTCCTGTTTATGGTTTGATTTGATCTAAATGTTATTTTATAAATGTTTTATGAGCTTGGACAGACTGTGGACTGGACATCGACACATCGACAGCCGGACAATAAAACCCGTCCTCCTCTAGTGGAGGATTGTCATAAAAAATATCGAGATCTGACTTGACTTGAGCTGTCATAGACATAGATAGACATAGATAGAACATATTTAATCACCATTAATTGCATGATTGTCTTTCATTAACTAACCTGGAGTTGAAATATGTGTTTGCTTCATACGAGTATTGCAGAATGAAGGAATATTGTTTCTTAAGGTGAGGTTTTCCCAGTTTGTTTGTTTTTTTAGAATTGTTTGTGTCTATATTTAAAAAGAAAATGTTTCTGAAAAGGTGGTTCCGGTGTGTGTGACCACGTTGCATCACCAACATCACTGTTGAAGAATGTCTTTTCTGGAGCTTTCAGATTGGTATTTGACTCCTGGTTTATGTTTGTTCTACAACAACAGGAGGTGATTTCGGTCATAAATCAGTAAATTATACCTTTTGCAGTCACTGGTGTGTGGAAAAGTCAGATGACTCCCAGTCTGTGTTTATTTTTACTCTTTACTCAAACATCAAACCGTTCAGATGAACATCCTATTAGTGTCAGCCGAACCGTCCTCCGCGCTGCTGATGCACCGGCCCAGTCGCCAACGTCAGGTGAAGCGAAAAAACAAATGTGTCCTCGCGGAGCTTCTGTTGAGCTTAATGAGCTTCTCGCTGTTCCTCCCAGAAACCATTTGCCGTTCATTTCTCAGAAGTGTTTCACATTTAGCCAGCTCCACTCAGGCATTTGACAATGTTCCAACTACATCTCTGTGCTTAAGTGACACCTCCGGAACTAGTTGCTTGGGTTTTCCACCGGTTAAAAAAAAAAAAAAAAGTCGCTGATGAAATGTGTGCTCGTGTGTCTTGGTGTTGGCGTGTGTGAATGTGGTGTCTTTCTGTTTAAAGTATGGAAATGAAAACAACAAATTTCCTGAGCGTTTCCCAACAGAGTTGGGAATTGGTTGTGTGAGATAATTGTTGTTACCAATAACGATCTTCAAACGGTTCCTTTGGACCCGCGTTCCCCGTTAGAAGTGGTGAGCTAATTTTCTTTTAATTAGTTATGAGCAAAAAATGATACAAAAAACAAAGAAACATCAGAAATTTAATTTAACAGATTATTATTTTCAGTGACTCTAGAAACACGTTCTCTCCCTCCCCCCTCCCATGGCCACACCTTTACACTGAGCAACTGCGCCGCGAATCCAAGGCGACATGCTAGCACCGTCCAGAAGACTTTTTTTTTATTTGAATAGAAAACTTTCAAGGCTTTAAATGAATCTGATGTTCATGTGTTTTGGCTCTGAGTTGTCAATAATTTCAGTTTCCTCTGTTCAGGGAAACGTTGAACTGCTGCTCGGCCCGTGTCCTTGTCAGCCCGCATAATAAATCCATGATTGACCTTGTACTGGAGAAAACATCGTTATCAGTGTTCTTTAGGTCGGTCTAATTGGTCTGATTCATTGTGCCGTTTTTATCACCAGCGGGAATAACAAGGTCAGGATGTCCAGTCCGTTCTGGAATCCACTTAAGCAGGAAAATCCACCGCCGGCTTCAGAGAGTTTCATCCAGGTTTAATGTGAACAAACAGACGTTTTACAGGTTAAGAAAAAAGTGGTTGTTAAGATAAAAGTTCCACAAATAAGTGTAGATGCTTTGACGACAGAAACCACTTCAGTTCAGTGAATGGGATTCACACTAAATATTCGTCACGACAGAACTTAACTGAGGAGGAAATTCCACAGACAACATTCAAAACTATACATATATATATATTTATTTCCTGTTTAAATTTTAAAATAATTCCAAAATGTGCTTTTTTTTTTTTTTTGGTAACCAACTCAGTTTCTGCTCCATTTGAAATCCGATAGTTTTGCGATGCGTCAGAGACACATTAGACACACGGCCAATCAAAACAGATTGTTACCAACGTTCCCTGACGGCCGGTGCTAATTAACCCGCTTCATTATCACTCACAATAACCTCACCCTCACAGTCACATTACCCAGATGAAGATGTTGACCCCCGTGACCACAGCTGTTCACTACTTTACTCTGATTCACCGAGGACGGGCTGGAAACCATCAACCATCACGTTGTGTTTGGTTTGTTTTTTTAAATGTTTCTGCTGCTGTAGAAAGAAACCGACCTAAAAATCAGTTTTAGGATTTATCTGCATGGATGCTGCCATTTGTTTGTGTTTTTCTTTATCCCCTTTTTCATTCATGGGGGAGAAGTATGTGGGTGCTTTGTTTGTGTTTTTCATCCTCTTTTTCATTCATGGGGGCGAAGTATGTGGGTGAGGCGGTCAGGGATCATCCCCTTCTCTGGTGCACGGTGAGGTCATTCATGGGGGAGAAGTATGTGGGTGAGGCGGTCAGGGATCAGGTTAGTACGCACTCTGACCGTCAAACTAGAAAGATCTATAAGCTGCATTTCTATGGACTTTTACTTAGAATTGAAAACATGTTTCTCTGCAGGGATGTTGCCCTGTAATTGTATTTTCTCTTTTTTTCCCATTCTCATAGAAACAGTTGTTTCCAAGAGGAAATATGAATTTGTTTTTTTTTTGGCCCACTCTCATTCAAACGGTTGATAGTTTTTTTCTGATATCATGCTGATTCTTCAGATTTCAGAAGAACAATTTTCATGTTCTTCAACAAAAAGCAAAATGGAAGAACAATTCACAGTAGATTGTCAATGCTCTTTTTTTTTCCTTTTGTTTCCTTGTTGCAAGAAGATTGACTTTATTGGTACAAGGTCAGTCAGAGCAACAATGGAGATGGGGCAGGTGTGTGTGTGTGGGGGGGGGGCAGCTTCAGCTAGCTCATATCTATAATTATAATTCTCTTAGGAATATTGCAGCCGGTGATGCAGTGTTGGTCGTGGGAAATTCCTACATGAACACGGCGTCTTCTCCCCCGTTCATGTGTTTTATTTACAGTACTCTGTGAGGGAACGTCTGGCCTCCCCCGTACAGGTAGACACCGTGAGTGACATTTTATTTAGAGCGATATTATTGCACAAGTGAGCAATTAAATCCTTTGTGTTTATCAATTACATCCAAGCAAGGAAGAAGTGTCACACAACTCCCGCATTAATTACAGGTGACAAGTAATTCTACAGAGAGAATAATCCGAGACAAGTGAACGGCACACTAACCACCGGAGACACGATAGGAAGCCGCACACAAAATGTTTCCAGTGTGCCACCGTGTTAATTAGAAGTCAGTGGTGCAGATGTTTGGAGGAGACTGCCTCAGACTGCGTAATTGTCTCAGCCTAATCACGACTCCGGTATCAATTTTTTTTGTTTTTTTTTTATGCCCGCAAGAAAACTTTTCCTCCAACAAAAGTCGGAGAAACTTTGCCGAACAGTTCACAGAAGGACAAGGACGAGGGGAACAGCATTCCCAATCACAGCCCCGAGGTTGACGATAATAAGTGAGGAGAAATATCATTAATGATGATATCGGCCAAACGATATTATCATTTACCTTAGCGGTCAACAACCTTTTTTGCGCCACAGACTGGAGGATTTTTCATGGACTTTCAGGCCTTTAAGGTGTGGTGGATGAATACGACCGGAGTAAAAACCGGTATTTTCAAAATATAATAATAAAAGCCACTTTGTATCCAAGCAGCGTCCTCGTAAAAACACACTTGTCTGTTAATACAGAACGCTTGCTCTCCAAGTGGCGAAGCAGTTTTGAAGGCTTCATCGCCTCATTAACAACAAAACCTGTCACAGTAAATCCATTTTTCAAGTAGAACTCCTGGAATTGTCTGTTAAATGCAGCTTTTGAAGACGTAGAGTCTTTTACTCTGCGCAAAGAAGACGTTTATTTCTTTGTGAACGAGTCAAGCGTCTTGACGTGTATCAAGTGTGAGTCATAGACTGTTTTATTTTCAAAATAAAACACCGTTCAGCATCAGATAATAAATGAAGTTCTTTCTATACGACCCGGTACCTATTGACCTACGGACTGATGCCGGTCCGCGGCCCGGGGTTTGGGGGACCATTGATTTAGATCACATTACGTTGTCTGGTGATAAAGGTGATGACTCCAGTTGCAGCGGCTGTCACTCACTCTGACTCTTTCATGCGCAGGTGAAGCAGATTATGGAGGAAGCTGTGACTAAGAAATTTGTCCATGAAGACAGCAGCCACATCATTGCTCTGTGCAGTAAGTACGCTTCTCTTCCTCTCTGTATACACACACACACAGACACACACACATCCACTTGATTCTTGTAGCAGATGAGTGTGCGGCACATCCATCCAAGGACGTCTCTTGATGTCACTACCTGTTACGATGCTGTGGCATCAATGGAAAGTTAATAATCACAGTACAGCTAATGGAAACCAATTGGTGTGTGTGTGTGATTGTGTGTGTGTGTGTGTGTGCGTGCACTTGTTTGTCTCCTGTCCTTATGCTTCAGCTGAGTCACAGCCTCCGTGCTGCCGCTGCTGTTGCTGCGATGCGATCTGAATTTATCTGTCACCACTGATGAACTGAATGACCAGTGGAAAATCCTGTCGTCTGTCGTGTGACATCACAGGCCGTCAGTTCTGAAAAACTGCGGGGAAGCCTCTTAGTCACATTTGTAATATGCAGAAATCCAGGCTCCTTTCTTCTTCTCTCCTCGGTCTACTGATCCACACACCAACAGTTCAGCTTCATCAGAGACCCCCCCCCCCAACAAAAATGTAGAAACGTTCGTCGGCTCTGACCTTTAAGAAACGTACGTCATCTTTACCTTACCCCTCTGAGGGGCAGCAGTAGAAGATGGAAAAGTGCATTTGTAGAAAATAATGGTTTCTTCCTATAGTGTCGGATTATAGGATTAGGATTAGGTTAATTGTTCGCTCTAAATTCACCGTAGGATTGAATGTGTAAATGATTGTCTCGTTGTACGTTGTCCTCGCTGAGCGACTGAGTCGCAGCCCTGAGGAAGATGAGGTGGTAGAAGATAAAGATATACAGGAATAAATGAATGGATTTTTACATTTAGTTAATTTTCTTTTTTATATGTCAGTATTTAGATTTAGAATTTATATTTAAATTAAAAATATATACCTTTTTTTTTAGTTCTGCTCAGGCAGTGTGTGAGTATCTGAGGCCAAACTCAGGCTGGTTTGATGGATTTCTGCTGCGTTTTTTTTTCTCCACCAGGAGTTTTTATTTAGTTCTGTTTGCAGAGGATTACTATTGAGTGGAGAAGAGCATCGATTTCCACGAGAGCGAGAGTTAAAAAGCAATAGTTGCTGTTGTGTGACACACTGATAAAGACGGTGCTGTAAAATTAATCAAATCCCAGGTTGAGATCAGGCCTCTGTGATTGGTCAGATCAGCTGATTCACATCCTGATGAAAAAGCTGTTATTAACTGCTCAATAATAATGACAGAAGTGCTTCGTTGCCTCAGGCTCAACCTCCGGCTCCTCAGTTCTATCTTTAACGTGTACTTCTTTTAGCTGGGGTTTTTATTCAATAAGTAAAAGTTTACTCTGATCTTTATTCAGACTCTGATTCCTGTTTTTTTACAAACCCACGCAGTCACAGCCCGGGTTCCCAGAGCTGCTCAGTAGTGTGGTTGGAAAACGAAAATGAAAAATAATAATGTGATCTTTTTCATTTTTTACATTTTTTTTCCAGGCTTCTTTTATTTTGAAAGTCGGAGACTCTTCCTCTGTCCTCTTTGTCTTTTCTCCTTTTAAAATAAGCTCTCCAAAGGCTTTTATTTTAGCATAATGTAAATGTGCTTTTTTTTTTTTTGGTTCCAGTCCACGGGCCTCTGATTTAGACATGTCGTAGTTGTAGTTGTTGATATATTTCATGCTGAAGGAAAACCTACTTGTGAGGTTTCTCATCTCTGTCGTCTGTTGTTGGTCTGTTGGTGTGGGTCGTTATGGGTTGGGTCATTTTTGAGTCTCCTGATTGGACGTGCAGCGTGCATCATTTGATGATTGTCAGACGTCTCTTAATCCGTCCATGTCCAGGCGACAGACGTAGCTGCGACTCCTCGCTGAGTCACGACTGGTCTCTATAATAACAGACAGTTTGGGTTTTTTTTAGGTTTTACTGAGTAATATTTGGATCATGATGTGGAGGGGAAAAAAAAATCGACTTGTTTGAAGTCACGTCTGCTGTTAATGAAGCTGCCACGCCGGGCGGGTGAAGCTGACCGCGGCGTCCCTGTAACGCCGGCACATAATTAGCCCGTTGAACCCGGTGACTCTGGGGAGAGGTGAAAAGTAAAAGATCGTGTGCTAATGATAAGCAGTGATGTCAGGGATGAGTCACTGGACGACGCCGTCTCTTCACCGCCGTGTTTTCCCTCCTAAAACCCACTAATTCTGCTGCATCTGCTGACGAAGGCCATTCTGAATCCAATGTTTTACTCCTGATAATCCAGTACCACGGCAGGGTGTGTGCATTTGTTTGGGAAAAAAAATGTATATTTTAGGCCTTGTCATTGTTTTCATACGACGGATGAATCTCTCACATCAATTAGAGTCAAGAAAAGATTTTAACTGAGGGAGAAGAGATAAAAGAGGAGATAATTAATCCTGGTCACTAGGGGCACTGTTAGATTAACTCGGAAAGTAGGGAGGAGTGCAACACAGGAAAGGGAAAGATGAGTGCGTAAGGAGGGAGAGGATGGCCTGAAGCCGCTAATGGGCTCATTAGAAAACTCTCAGTCATGTAATGACCTGCCACAGATTAGAAACGTACTGCAGACACATGGGCGGACAGAAATAGAGCCTGGGAGAAAGAGAACCAGGGCCAAAAGGGGAAAAAGGAGATATGTGTGTGTGAATTTTTTTATAATGAAAGAGTTTCAACACTTTTCTTTCCCTCTACGTTAATTTGACTGAAAAACCTTTTGTTAAGAAAATGTTATCAGATTAAATTTAGGAATGTGAATAATCCGCTGCTGATCAGAACAATGGAATTAATGCTGCCTCGTATTATTCATTATTGCTGATCTGATAAATTATACATTTATTAACCCAGACTCTCTGGTGACGTCCAGTGATGGTTTGTAATGCTTAACGAAGAAAAATGTTTTTTTTTTTTGCTTTAACTGATGGATGAATCCAGAAGAACGCCGTGATGAATTCCGACTGTAAAAGATCGGCGTCGTGATTCCTCTGACCTTTTGGATTTCAGGCAGGAGTTGTTGGAAAAGTTCATACATTCATCTCTTGACATTTTATCCTGTTAGGGGACCGGAGGGATGGGGGGGTCAGCTGGAGCCCATCCCAACTGACACTGGGTCATCTGTCTGACTCGGGAAACAGACTGGTGATATTTTTTGCAGTGAGGCAACGGCACAAAACTGAAACGTTACATCAGAGAAGCGTTGATTCAACTGACGACTTAAACCATAAAGATATAAATACTTTTTTAAAAAATATTGTTTAAAAATGTGTCCTTTTCTCAAAACCTGTGAAAACCTCCAGTCTTTGGTCTTGAGAACAGAACGTAAACTTGCTCACTCACTTCCTAATTAGGCAGCTCTTGGTCGCTCTCTGCAGGTGGAAAGTACTTGATTTTATATGCAGCAGTTTTTGTTTTTTTTTCTTCCCTGATTTCTGACATTTTGCAGATCGTAGCAGCCAAAACTGTGATTAGAATTCGATTAATTGTGCAGCTCTAGGGTGAACGGTTAAAAGATAAAAGAAGAAGAAAAGTTTGTAGCGATGAGGGTGGGAGAGAAGACAAAGCAGAGACGACGACAGAGATAAATAGAGGGAAGAGCAAACGGAGGGAATGGTCCGGAAGTGCTGGTCGGAAAACAGCGGCTAATCAGTTTTCTTAGTCTTCAGGCCTGGAGTGCGGTTTGGTCTGCTGGTCACAGGCAGGACATTTACACTCCGTGTCCCACACATAAATCATGTCACACGGCTGAATGAGCAGACACTGTCAACATTTTAGCTGCGAGGAAGTTCTGCTCGTCCACACTCTGCCCTGCACCTCCCTCTCTCTCTCTCCATCTATCTCTCTCTATCCCTCTGGTCTAATAGTCAGAACATTAACACACATTTATATATTATTATTATTATTATTATTATTATTTTAAACGGCCTGTACATACATCCAAACTCCAGACTCTTCCTTTTATTTCCACCTCTCCGTCCACACACTAACCTTTTCCTCGTTGTTATTATTTTACCTTTTCTCTCCGTCCTTGATCCGTGTAAAACCGATCTCCCTTCTTTTCGGGAAACTATTAGAAAAGTTTTACTCCGTAATGAAACGGGAAGAGTGACATTCAGGTTGTGTGTTTGTTGTCAGGTTGTGTTTGTTGAGCTAAGTGGCAAACAAATGGCACCGTCACGCTCCTCTGCTCTCTGCATCCTTACGCTGGAGCGCTGGTGTTTGGCACATGGTCTCAGTTCCTGCAGCTCTGTCTTTTGATGCTTGTACAAACACGGCGGCCGAGTCAACTGTCTCCACGTGCTTTGATGCAATTAGCCAGCAGCGTGTGAAGCAGAAAGCTTTGTAGCTCTTTTTTTTTTTTTTTTTTTTTTTTGTGTGTGTATATATGTATATGTATGTATGTATATATGTATATGTATGTATATGTATGTATGTATATATGTATGTATATATGTATATATGTATATTTATGTATATATATGTATGTATGTATATATGTGTATATATATAAGTATGTATGTTTATACATATAGGTATATATATATAAATATATGTATATATATGTATGTACGTATATATATATGTATGTATGTATATATATATATAATTGACGCTTGTTGTATCGCAGTTCGGCAGTCATGTCCTCAGTTCATCGCAGGTTTTTAATATGTTAAATGTATTCTTGAATTGCGTATTTTGGGTTTTTATCGTGGGTTTTTGCTATATATAAAAAATAATTTCCAATATTTTCATTCTTTTTGTGAGAAAATAAGCATTTTGTAGCCAAAGAAGAAAAAAACTGTAAAAAAAAAAGAAATTTTGATTTTTTTTTTATCTTCTTATGGTTGTGGCGTCAACACACAGTGACTGGAAACGTTTGTTTACACAGAGCGACAAGACGTTCATTTCAGGTTCACCTGTTGTGTGGAGAAAATACCCAGCTCCATCATCCTGACGTGTTCTGTTCAGTCACGCTGCCTGCCTCCAGAGCTCCGGCTGAGCACAGACAGCGTTTCC